ATAAGAGATAGCTTCAGTAGTTCCTGTGCTGGAAACCGGGTCCAGCGTCCCGTTACTAATTCTCAACCTCCTGTGTACTCTCTTTTACACCAAGGAACCTACACCACTTCTCAGAGAACACTACTGCCAGTGGTACAAAAACACTAGACCAATCCTGCAGGTGAGAGAGCATGCTCCAACTTGAAGTGTTAGTGCGTAATACCAGAGCACACCCTCAAATTGTCGGTATTTAGATGTAGCACACGACTTGCAAAGTTAAAGCATTAGTTGACGATTTATTTGTCATTAGTGCTAACACACGAGATTCTGTAAACGCACCCAAAGGATGCTTAATAAGAGTACTCTATCTTATTGGAACCAGTGGTGAACAAGGGCAAAATCAATTTACTTCTTACCATCTCAGTACTGTATAGCAGTAGAGTTCGGTACGCAGCGAGTTGTAGAAGGTTCATCAAAGAGATATTTGAGTGTGCAAGTGACGCTACCCAGCTGCAGCGATCTTCAAGGCGACATACTCCAACAGAAAACTATGCAGTGATTGGCCAGGTGGGGCCCAACCCCACACTTCCTTTTTTTGGGAAGAGCCATGATCCTAAATATAGCACTTTTTCTCACTCCTTTGGTAATGTTGGGAAAGGCAGACTACTTTCGAAGCAATTGTTAAAGGCTATCCGTAGGCGGCTGCAAAATTCGTGTGGAAACCCTTAACATGGAGGGCGGTTTTATCTTCAAGGTAGCGTGGGAGAATGTATGTTACTCTAGGAAGGAAAGTGGGCTCAACCTTGCCGATGAGGGTTCTGTTGGCCCAAAGTATACAAGGTCATTCCCCTGTTTGTCGTGTACTTTCTCCGACAATTACCTGCTGTAGCATACCGAATGGACTATCCCCAACTCTTCATCCCTTTCCACCTCGTTGAGAATTGAATCTTGCAAACTTCGATGATATCATTCATAGTTCTATCTTGATTTATCGATCACAATTTCCAGAACTATAACTCTTGGTCTTGAATGTTTGATTTATACCAGGTCCCTGCTGAATCTGTTTGAACATACCATTCCACTGGGATCGCCTTCATAAGCTTGTGCTTCTTAAACCACGAGTACTTGGCGCAGCTATTGATGCCGAGCCGGGAAACGGCCTGCTCGCCAAGTTCTGCCGAGCCGCCGCCGCGTCTTTTCGTTTTTCTTTTGGCTGGCGCCTCCAGTCGTTGTGGTCCGGCAGCCCAAAGCCCAAAGCCCATCAGTCGGGGCGCGTTAACGGGAAACGCCCGCGGCCGACGTATGTGCCAAGTACTGGTGGGGTTTAAGAGTGAGGGCGTTGGGCGGCGCGACGATCTGTTAGCAATCTCAGCCAACACACCACTTTCATTCAACACATTAAAATGGTGTTTAAGCCAGTACTGGATTTATCAGAAGTTGCAGTTAACTGGTCGACATGGATGTACTATTTTCTCCCTACGCAATATGTTGTTTCTGTCCATATGGGAATGAAACGGATTGCAGCCAATTCCTTTCAAAGATATCTCCGAGTACAGGTCGCGCTGTGCAAAAAAAAGTTGTATGGAAATCCAAGGCAATCTGTTGCAACAAAAAGTGACTTCCCGGATTTTCCGATGGGCTTCTGCTCCTCACCACTTCCTTTTTGGTAGAGCATTGGTCTTGAATATGACACTTCTCTCGTTGTGAGGACCCCGGCCTCAATCTTCTTATTTGTAATATCAGCCTTGGGCACTGGGCCCACTTGAAAAAAAAAAAAAAAAAAAAAAAAAAAAAGAGTCGTTACCATGGTTTGTAGGTAAGGCATATTTTTGTTGAGGGAGGAAAAAAACGACGCCAAGTAGTAAAAAAAGTGGCATGAGAGAATATATCTAAGTGTGAAGGGAGGAATCCTGGAGCTCCTCACAAAACCAAATGTGGCCATGCTGGCTCAATAGGCAATAGGGGTCTCACCAAAGCAGCCGCGACGCAGGATCGAGAGCATGGGGTGGGTAGTACTGGCGGAAGTTCTCTCTTATGTGGAAGAGAGACAGTTACCCCAAACTGAAGATGTCTGGATCTGCTGCATGTTGGATTAGTTTATGGGACGTCAATTGAAGTCTCCATCTGCCTCATTCGCCTTGCAAGTTCCTTCTCCTTCGCCTTGCCTCGTCTTCCTTCATCCTCATCTTCCTTTTTGCGCAGTTTATCATTGTCCTCTGTCTCACCACTCCCTCCTTCCTCCTCCAAGTCTCCTCATCTTCTTCATTGTTGTTGTTCCTTCTCGTCCTTTTGGTCTTGGGAAGGGCCTTCAAGACCGTCATAGGCTGCTTGAAAATCAAAGGACTCCGGAGAGCTCTCTGCCACTGTCTCTTCAAGATCCTGATTCCATTTCATGCGTTTTTGTTTAGGGTTTGTGTTGAGTTGCTTGTTTTGATTGATTGAGTGCCCTGTAGATTTCCTCGTTTTAATTGGTGTCAATCTTTTCCTCCCCCCCCCTACTTGATTGGTTCAACGACCTGCAGATTTCATCATTGATCAATGGATTAATGCCACCTTATACTGATTTACGGCCATCTTTTTTCTTCTTTTCAACCTCCTTCCACCCCTCCGCTTTTCTCAAAGAGCTAGTCAACACCCCCTCATCTCCCACACCCCCCCCCCCCCCCCCCCCCCCCCCCCCCCCCCCCCCCCCCCCCCCCCCCCCCCCCCCCCCCCCCCCCCCCCCCCCCGACGCAACAGGCTGACGGGGTTGGAGGTGCATTGGCACCACGTCCTTTACATCCCCCCGGTGCAGAAACCCGCTGGCCAGTGGCAGTGGCAGTGCAACACTGGGAAGATGTCAAATTCACATCAAACTGTGTTCATGTTCTAAGAACCTGCAATGGATCACGGCTAGCGGGCCTCCGGTGGGCCTGCGACCTTCTCGGAGGCCGAAACGAAACGATGGCCGCCGATCAGATTTATCAATGGCAGCCGTCATCGGGCCCGGCCTCCGAAACTTTAGGCGTTTGGGAAAACGTCCACTTTTCCCTATTTTCCCACGCACCGAAGGTACTATTCTGGAGGGGCACCGGTCTGGCTTACTTATCCCCGACCAGCATTAAAAGATTACATCATTACCTCTTTCTAGTAGTTTCTACCCATTCATGCTTAGCCAGGTCATTCATACAGATAACAAGGGCTGGTCAATGCCATCCATCATTGCAAGGGCTTGATGAAGTTGATGCGTTTTTTTTTTTTTTTTTTTTTTTTTTATGCATTGAATTCCAGTCCACTGGCATAACCCCCCCCTCTCCCTCACCTCTGCTCCTTGATAAAAGAAGAAAAGAAAAACAGGTAGAGAAGAAACATGATGTCCAATTAATATATCGTCATTTTATTTATGGTATATATTTCAAGAATCTATCAAATTCAAGACAAAAGTCACAAAAATGACAAAACCCAATTGATCACCATTTTGAATTCTGAGTTTGTTGAAGTACATACTGTGTGGCATGGTACTATTATTAACTTCTGAAAATCCTTTCATGTTTTTCCAACAAGCGAAGGACATCTGGACCCGTTTTCCAGCAGGTGCAGCTCCCCACCAATAGATGGAGCGACCAAAGGAAATCATAGTAGGGAGGGATGCTCTTATCACCCTACCTACCATGGTCTCAACGAGTCATTAAAAAAAAAAAGAAAAAAAAAAAGAGATGCAAACAGGAAACAATTTCAATATAACAGATGAAAAGAAAAAACACATACATGAGACAAGGCAACTCACTCACAAGTACCATGGGCTCACTCACAAGTACCATGGGCTCACTCACAAGTACCATGGGCTCACTCACGAGTACCCACGGGCTCAGCCATGAGTTTTAACTTCCAATATTCAGAAGGCCCCGTGATGCTGTCTCCAGCCTCCGCATACTGTACTGATCCCGAATGATACGTCTCATAACCTTGTTGGACGGTGTTCTTGGTAGCGAAGGAGCAAGGACGACATCGTTAACCTGACATTCAGGAGAAAAACATGTAGAAGTAACCCCAAACCTCCCCCCAAAAGAACATCAGTGCTTCATCATGGATGAGAGAAGGTGTATTTTATTATTTTCATCAAAACAATGGTTTATGCCATGTATGCTTTGTATCCTTATGTGCTGTGGACCTTGAAATTTACACACTGGCAATCAAGATTCCCCTAGTTCAGTTGGGTGGTACGCCCCTGAACTGTTGCAATGCAGACCTGAGTTTGAACTCCACTCCAAGCAGATAAGTAAAATAGTAAAAAATAGTAAAAAATAGTAAATTTCTGAATTACCTAGGGCCAGTCACTTCGACGATGATATCTCAAGCCTATTGCCCTTTACAAAACAAAAACGATTCCCACAATTTCCCAGATAGGAAGCACCAACAGCAATCGATGAAGATTTCTCATACAGGAAGAACAAACCAATGCTCCATACCTTCTCTTGCTCAGAAGTTGAGGGAGATTCAAGTGTACCATGAAAAGCTCACATCATAACAAGAAGTTGAAGAACCAACAACCCTCCCCCTTCTCGCCAACTCTCGGGCTTTTCCCTGTTCTTCAATTATCGCATACATGTTTCGAGGTCCATGTCACGTGTGTGTGTGTGTGTGTGTGTGTGTGTGTGTGTGTGTGCCATGGGTGTGTATAAACACGGCCATCCCATTTGCAATGGGAGAGGAGACCAATTCGACGTCCGCAAGGTTAGCATCAGGATAGAGCTCTACAGTAATTAGTCTCTTTTTTTAAGGAGAGAACCACTTCAATATGCCGTGGGGGAGGTGGGTGGGAGGTGTGGATTAGGTAGGGAGCTGTTAAAAGATTAGTAGGTTAGATTGTGTTAGGATCGGGAAAATTAAAAGCCGAAGGGGGGGTGCACGCCCTAAAGCGCGCTTTTCGCCGCCTAGCACCCATAGCAGCTCATCAGAGGGATTAGTCATTAGGCTCCTGTTAGCGTAGGGGGTGAGAGGGGATCTTAATCAAGGTTTTGTAAGAGATACAACACAGGTAGTTAGAGGTTAGGATGCATGAGATCCGTACCTGAGAGGTCATGGCTGGTGATGCAGTCGTATCAGTTGCCACCGTAGCTTATTCGGCCAGTCTTAGGCGAGAGATCAGGCACTTCGTTGTACGAGGCGCAGTGTGAGAGGCACAGAAGTGTGCCTTACCAGCCACAGACACCGGGTCAGCTTGCCTGGTTGCGTGCTTGTGCGAGAAGCGCACAGTATTGGCAGAGATGCGTGTTGATCCAGAGGTGTTCGCGTGCACCGTAGCAGATGGGTGAGTGCAGGAGGAGTATAGTGTGAGGGTGTGATAGGATATACATAGTAAACATAGGCAGACAGGCCAAGGAAAAGGGCGCAGGGGGAGCTTGCAATGGCGGTGGGGTCGTACGAGCTGTAGTTTGGTATGCAGCGCGTCATGGAGAGGGCGAGGGTCCGGGGGGAGGGGGCAGGGGGGAGCAGAGGGGTTTTTTGGGTGTGGGCATACGGGATTACGGTTCTAGGTAGCGTAGTGGCTTTGTGTCAGGGGTTCGCGTTGTACAGGGAGGTGTGTTCAGTCGTGGCCGAGGAATGCAGTGCGTATCGCGTTCTTTTGCAGGGTCCGCGTTTCTGTTTTGTTTTGTCTGTATTGCCGTATCGTGGTCTGGCTATGGAGGTCTTTGTGCTGTGTTGGTCGTATTGTCACAGTGGTTTTGTCATGGGGTGCTAGTGGCGTTTCGACTGTTTGTCGTATGTGGGATGTCATGTTTCTCCATATTGTCGTTTCGCGTAGTGTTGTACACGCCTTGGCCGGGTCCAGTTTTTTTGTTGGTTATTGTCTAAGTTCTTTCTTAAAAAAGGGTTTTTTTCTAGGCTGTTTTCCCGGGCGCCCGGGCATCCAACTTCTGCCCGGGTACACGCCCGGGTGCCTGGCCGGGCATGACCCCCGGGCAGGGTTCCGGGCAGCCCCAGCGCCAAAAAAAAAAAAAAAAACTCAAAAAATTCCGGAAAAAAAATATGTTGTGTAGGATTGAAATGCAAACCAGTTTTGGCTGAGGGTCACATTATAATTCCTCACAGAATCGGAGATAAAAAAAGAAATAACAGAATCACACAAAGGCACCCCCCTTTAGACCCCTTTAGCCCCTTTAAAACCAATTTATACCCCCCTCCCCCCCCCTTGACAGCCAAYTCKCAAAAAACKAAATKAGCCCGGATTTGRAGTCCTCTGGGAGAGCGCAGAAAACCAAAAAAAAAAAAAAAAAAAAAATTTTTTTTTTTTTTTTTTTTTTTTTTGCACGCCCTGGTTACCCCGGGCGTCAGACCCCCCCGGGCGTCACGCCCGGGTGCCCGGCCGGGCAGGACCGGCCGGGCGTGAGAATCTTCCTAGGTTTTTTTGTGTGCATGTGCAATTGGGACTGTTTTTCAGTGCATTACCGTGCTTTGGGTCCCATAACCGGGGGAGTCTGAGAGAGTGGGTGTCTATATTTGTGTCCATATTTGTGTCCATATTTGTGTTATCATAGGTGTTCTTCATGATAGGGCTGATCTTCATGATGCCTGCTATATAGAATGATGAGGTTGAATCTTCATCATGATGATGTTGACTCTTCATGTGTTCTCTTCTTCCTCCTCATCTCACCTCACCTCACCTCACCTCACACACACAGAGAGAGAGAGAGAGAGAGAGAGAGAGACGGGGGGGGGGCAGTGTCATAAGTGTTCGGGACATCTATTACATTGGATCAATACAGAGACGATTAGCATGGCGCCTGTGCAAGAATGACATACATAAATCGACAAATGGCCTACGCAAAAAAAAGAAGAAAAAGCACGAACATCCGTTTAGTATCCGATCCATGGTCCATCGGCTGCACGCCCTTAACTGCATCGGATCCACTTGTTACCTTGAAGAAAGGGCTCATCTTTGTGCGCAGCGCTGCAGTGAAGGCCAGTTTCAAATCTTCAACATCAGCTACAAACCCATCCCTTAGCACAGCCACAATCACAAGCTTCTCGGGGCCGCCATCAGCAGGAGAAATTCCAATTGCGGCAGTCTCCACCACATCAGTATGTGAGGCATTGCAGGTGCGTTCGATTTCCACGGAGCTGACCTGGATCCAACAATAGACAGAAAGACAGTTACAGGCAGGTAGCCATGAGTCTTAGGGTGCCCTATTGCCCTGAATTACAAGCAACAAACCCACCCCTTGACATGGCCACAACGGCTAAGTGTGTGAGGCCACTACCAGCAGGTTCCATTTGCTACAGTCTTTACGACGGCGCTATGCAACGCAATAGAAGCACGCTCGGTTTCCAACGAGATGACCTGCCTGCAAAAACAGGACCAGGCTACAAGTCCATAGTGTTGGAGCTGCACATTTCTCTGAATAAAAACTTGAAGGAGAACATAAGGAGACAAACACAATGTATCCCATGGAGGGAGGTGGAATACTTCATTCAATTCCAGAAACCATAATTCATTCGAATTGGATTGATACGTAATCACACGTGATTGGGAGTTTTTTTCACTTAAAACTGAGCTTGAACATACTCACAGAGGTCATTGACGAAGCCGAGATATACTTCTGTACACCTGGGCGCGCATCTGCCCTGAACACAGAGACTTGAAATGATCCCCGTATAGTGTGCTGCAACCTATCTCCCTGCTCTTTTGTGCTAAAAATAACGCTCGCTGCTTCGTTCTTCAAGCTTGTAAAATTTCACAATGAAAAATTGGTTCGAACTTCTGCTCAACTCGTACCTTTGACGAGCCGCTTCGGGCCCAAGGCCTAACATTTCTGTTCATGAAAGATCCTGATTCTATCGATCTGAAACACCCCACTCTAAGCAGGGTAAGGGCCCCGGTATCCAAGTTAATGCTGTATCAGGGATACTGGACCCGGTTTGCGGCAGGTGCAGCTTCCCATCAATAGATCAGAGCATCCAGCAGCGGGATCTACTAGGGCGAGATGCTCTTATCACTCCTCCTAGCAGACCGGAGCTAGAGTTTCCCCCAACCCACATCCCCCCGCAACCCCCCTCCTCCCCCGAAAAAAAAAAGGAAAAAGAAACAACCTATTCTAGGCTAACAGTCATTGTTGAACTGGCCAGCCTCAGGTTACTCAGAATTATTTTCATCCGTTCATCTGATTGCATTCGATTTGAACTTGGGTCTGTATTTCAACAGTTCATTGGGTGTACCAACTCAGCTAGGCCCGTTGGTGTGCTGACGCGAATTGGCCACTGTCATTGTCAGTTGCTTCTCAAACCTCAAAGTTGGCGCTCACGAATCCAAAGGCTTGACCAGGTTTCAGAACTATGGTTAAATTTTGGAGTTACTCGTCCACACCTACGTTTGCTAGGGATAAAGGCATGCAAATGGATGTTTGAGGATTGGGATTTACAGTCTCCAAGCTGTTTAAGATATGATGTATTATGAACATCCAGTTTTTTTTTTTAACAAACGGGCCCAGTGCCCAAGGCTGATTATTACCAATAAGAAGATTGAGGCCGGGGTACTCACAGTCTACCCGGAGTGACCGAACAGAACATGCTGAGAACTGGGCTCAGCGTCCCTCATATGATGATGATGATGAACTTCTGCTGATTCTTTGAAAACTGTGAGATAATGATGATAGTGATGATGCTGCTTTTTTTTTTTTTTAAATCACTGGCTCCATTCTATTGGTGGGGAGCTGCACCTGCTGGAAACTGGGTCCAGCGTCCCTCTTACATAATATTTCTGGAACATGATACCGAGAACTGCAATAATCTGAAGGAGAGCTACCTCTTACATAATATATCTGGAACATGATACAGAGAACTGCAATAATCTGAAGGAGAGCTACCTCTTCAGCCCCATAGGGCCGCCAGAAAAAAATAATCTCTACTAGCAACTCATCCCCCTGTGACATATCCAAATAGCAACTAATCCCTCTATCATATCCAAATAACCATAGTGAATGATTTTGCCCGCCATTATTCCACCCCCCCCCCCATACCACTGCAGATCCACCAACGCCAGGTCCGAAGGGGGGAAAGGATCCGGAAAAGATTCTGGAGGTCTTAATATTGCGCCTGGCTGGACATCGAACCAATCATGGAATATAATCTTATAATCCCTCTTGATGTTTTCCCCATCCTCCTCCCCTCCTGACCATTCTACCTTTCCCAGTTTCCCTCTTTGAGAATCACCCAGCCAGTCCTTAGTGAAATTGAGTATTTTCTTCTTTATTTCCTGTTTTTGCTGCAACATATTGATTCTTTCTTTAGTTCTTTCCCATTGGTATCTTACCTCTGTTTCCACCATTTGCTGTACTAGTTCCACAATTCTCTGCCATCAATCTTAACCTTTTCTATTGTGAAAACACATCTTCTATACCATAGTACCCATAGCATAGATTTCCTACCTATGCTATACAGGTTCTGCTGAAAATTCGATAAAGAAGTGAGAACAGGGTACCAATGTCCCAAGAGAATCGCCCTCCAATCCCATGGCCAATCGATACCCGGAAATCTATTCCATACATAGTCCCATCGTCTCCACAACAGTTTTGCCCCTGGACATTGTAAAAAGATGTGCTCAATTGTTTCTTTTATCTTTCTGCTGGGAAAAGCCTCCACACACATGTCACACCATGGCAGAGCCACCCCCCTCTGCTCCAACGTGGAATGATCAATCAACCAGTCGTTTGTTGGCAGACACCTATGTGCAATCTGCCACTGTAATGAGGCAAACTTAGCAGGTCTTTCCTTGAAACCTTGACTGTACTAAGCAAATCCATATAAACATTCAGATGTCAAGCCCACCGCTCCTGTAAGACCGCCAGAACATCTATTCTAGGACGTAACAATCGATATGAAGCCTTGACTGATAGAGATTGCAACCTTTGCGCCTTGCATTTTCTATTGGCACGCCAGGTCCATTCCGCAGGATCCAAAGGAAGATCAGGTATAGGAATATTTGGGCAAAAAACTTTCCATGCGTTGGAAGACGTACTACACAAAGCCCTTACTCTATATAAGGATTCAAAATTAAAAAACATTACTTTGTCTTGATTGTGTTGTGCCATTGTGTAGTCCCTGTGAAATGGAAAGACATTTATTAAGGCCCCATCTATATGGATATCTAAAATTTGTCCTACTACCCTGGAACCTTCCGTCAGATGCGCACATACCCAGTCACCAACCAAAAAGACGGACCCCTTTTTCAGCGTGGCTAACCAGGCCAAAGGGATAGATGAAGTGATGATTTCAAGATTCTCTTCTAAATGATGTGCATACTTAATTTCCTTTCTTAGTTGGTCCACTGATTTCCAACTCTTGTTTTCTGAATTCCACAAGTCTTTAATCCTAATTATACCATGTTTAACCCAGGTGGACCACGGGGATGTAGAACTTATGAACACCCTACCTTGTGCATCTGAGATCCATTTGTTTCCAAAAATTGGCTGTCTAAGTACTTCCTCGTACCTAGAAGGAAGTGATCTGTTAGGTATAGGTAACTTGCGCCATATTTTCAATAAATTTACCCAAAAACCGTCTAACACTAGATCTCTCCGAACCTCTCTCCTCTCCCCCTCTTTAACAGAGTGTGCCTTAGGTCGGGGAATAGCCCAATACCTATCCTCCACCCAAGTTAGTGGATTTACATTGTTTGTGGTTTGTGGAGCCAATCTGCGTATTTGTTCCAGAGCCAAGGATTGCAAGGGAGGTCGGTAGCAAAAATTAAACGTATAATCCATTGAAGAGCCAAAGCTTGGCATTGGATCATTGGATCCAAAATGCCTAGACCCCCCTTGGCTTTTGGTTGTATGAGAACCTGCCATGCTACTCTGGGGATTACATGAGATGTCTCGTGATTACCTCGCCATAAGAAGGCTGTGAGTTGCCCCCGAAGTTCCTTGGCTGATTTCTTGTCCAGTGCCCATAAGGCGGATTTGTACCAAATAGACGCAAGTATTACATTGTTAATAACCAAAGCCCTGCCGAAAAGGGAAGTATGTAAGTTTTTCCATTGCTTCATTTTCTGTAATGCTGGAGAAGTAATCCATACATCATTAGAAATTGGTTTCCCTTTTGCTGTGAGCATCACCCCCAATACTCTGATAGGTGCCTCTAATGCCATCCACTTTACCTTAGGATTTTCTGGCGGCCTATCTCCTTGAGAATGAATCCACCAACCTTGAGTTTTACTTCCCTGGTTAACTTCCATATCCGACAGAAGGGAGAACTTATCCATCAATGCTTTTATTTCCTCCATGTTTTCCTGCGATGCTTCCATCATTATGGTTAGATCATCGACAAACATAGAGCAGATTGGTATAGCTTCCTCTGGAATTCCTGAAATATGAAGCCTTCTAACGTTCTTATTTACTCTGAGATTAGCTCCTAATGCTTCCATTATAATTACAAAAAGAAAAGGGGCTAAAGGATTTCCTTGTCTTACTGATCTTTTGAGATGTATTTCTGGTGAAAGTAGACCATTGACCTGGACCCTTGTGGTAGCATTCGAATGCAGTATAGTAATCTATTTACGAATTGTTGGACCAAAATTTATTTTTTCCAGACATGCATGTGGACAGTGAAACCTTGACTCTAGCAGATATCAGTTGTCGGTGTTGTAAAGGAAAACCAAACCTAATCGTAATTATGGAAGTTCATCCATTCCAATTTCCAAGCATTTATTCGTCGTTATTCGTTGTGGACTATACACTGATTGACAAGAATATCATTATTGTTCACTAATAGGAAACAATGGACTCTGACAAGTAAGAATTCGAGGTGTGGTGTCCTTCGGGACGTCTGTTAAAATTGGAACAATACATAGAAAATTAGCATGGCCCCTGCACAAGGATGAAATTGGGAAATGGTCCAAACCTCCTGTGATGCACTTCGGGTTCTCCAACTGAGATGACTGGTTTGGGCCCCCTGGTTGGTTGGGAACCGATGGCTTTCCAGCTCGCTCCAGGTGTTAGGAGATTGGGTGCTACTCCCCGCGTAGAGTAGAGAGATTTAGGAGTTTGTCGTAGCCCGTCTCAAATAAATATCCTAAGAGACTGGCCTTTGCAGTTGCTAAGATGTGAGTAGGTAGGTAGTGGGAGGTACATAG